ATTGTTTTTCTGTAAAAAAAAAAAAATGCCACTGGGATTTTTATAGGGATTGCACTGAATCCATAGATCGCTTTTGGTGGTGTACACTTTTAACAATATGGAATCTTCCAATCCATGAGCAAAGGATGTCTTTCCAGTTGTTTGTGTCTCCTTGAATTTCTTTCATCAATGTTTTCTGGTTTTTAGTATAAATGTTTTTCGCCTCCTTGGTTAAGTTTATTCCTAAGTATTTTAGTCTTTTAGGTGATATTGTAAATGGAGTTGTTTCATAATTTCCTTTTCAGATAGTTTGTTGTTAGTGTATAGAAAAGCAACTGATTTTTGTATGTTGATTTTGTATCCTGTAACTTTACTCAGTTTATTGGTTCTAATAATTTTTCAATGGCGTCTTTAGGGTCTTCTACATAAGATAATGTCATCTGCCAAAAAGGGACAAATTTACTTCTTCCTTTCTAATTTAGGTGTCTTTTATTTTTCCTTCTTGTCTAATTGCTCTGTTTAGGACCTCCAGTCCTATGTTGAACAGAAGTGGTGAGAGTGAGCATCCTTTTCTTGTTCCTGATTTTAGAAGAAAAGCTTTCAGCCTTTCACCATGGAGTATTAAGTTAGTGGTTGGATTTTCATATATGGCCTTTATTATGTTGAGGTAATTTCCTTCCATTCCTAGTTTGAGAGTTTTTATCATGAAAAGGTATTGAATTTTGTCAAATGCTTTTCCTGTATCCACTGAAATGATGTGATTTTATCCCTTATTCTGTTAAGGTGGTATATCACATTAATTAATGTTCATATGTTGCACCAATTTTGCATCCCAAGGATAAATCCCACTTAGTTATGGTGTGTGATTGATTTTTACATCTAAGTTTCTCAGGGATATTGGCCTGAAGTTTTCCTTTCTTGTGCTATCGTTGTCTGGCATTGGTATTAGGGTAATGCTAGCTTCATAAAATGAGTTTGGAATGGTTCCTTCCTCTTCAATTTTTGGAAGAATTTGGGAAGGATTGGCATCAATTCCTCTTTAAATGTTTGCTAGAATTCACCAGTGAAGCCATCTAGTCCTGGGCTTTTCTTTGTTGGGAGGCTTTTGATAACTGATTCAATCTCTATACCAGTTTTAGGTCTGTCCATACTTTCTATTTTTTCTTGACTTAGTCTTGGTAGGTTTTGTAAGTATTTCTAAGTATTCTATTTCTTCTAGGATATGTAATTTGTTGGCATATAATTGTTCATAGTAGTCATTTTCATTTCTGTGGTATTAGCTGTAATGTCTCCTATTTCATTTGATTTTGAGTGTTTTTTCTTAATTTAGCTAAAGGTTTGCCAATTTCATTTATCTTTTCAAAAGGCTAACTCTTAGTTTCATTGATTTTTTCTACTATTTTGCTTTTTTGTTTATTCCTGCTCTAATCTTTATTGTTTCCTTCCTTCTGATATGATAACTTTGGGGCTTAGTTTGTTCTTTTTCAGGTTCTTTGGAGTGTAAAGTTAGGTTGTTTGAGATCATTCCTTTTTTTTTTTTTTAGTGTAGGCGTTTATCACAAACTTTCCTCTTAGTACTACTTTTGCTGTATCCCATATGTTTTTGTACATTGTGTTTTCATTTTTGTTTGCCTCAAGGTATTTTTTCCCCCTGAGGAAGATTGGTCCTGAGCTAACATCTGTGCCAACCTTCCCCTATTGTGTATGTGGGTTGCCGCCACAGCACGACTTGATGAGTGGTGTAAGTCCACGCCTGGCATTCGAATCCACAAACCTTGGCCACTGAAGCAGAGCATGCCAAACTTAACCACTACACCACTGGGCCAGCCCTCAAGGTATTTTTCTAATTTCCTTTTTGATATTTTCTTTGACCCAGTGGGGGAGTTTGACAGTATGTTATTTATTCCACATATTTTGGATGTACCAGTTGCCTTTTGCTATTGATTTCTAGCTTCACTCCATTGTGGTCAAAAAAGATACTTGTTATGATTTCAATCTTCTTAAAATCTTAACTTTGTTAAGATTTGTTGTGACCTAACATATGATCTATCCGTCAGAAATCCATATGCATTTGACAAGAATACGTATTCTGCTACTGTTGGGTGAAATGTTCTATATATGTCTATTAGGACCAATTTGTCTATATTATTGTTCAAGTCTGCTGTTTCCCTATTTATCTGTCTGGATGTTCTAGTTTTCTATGTTTTTAACCAAAAAAAAAAGTACAATGTGCTTAAAATATTGAGTCCAGTAGCTAAAGTTTTTTGATAAATGAAGGCATAAAATAGTAAGCATTTTGTAGAAGAAAATAAGATGAAGTTTGACATAATTAGAACATATTCTATGCTATGATTTGATAAAATCAGTTTGTGCTACTACCTGTTCTTAAATAATACACATTGTCTTGAAGAAATAAATACAAGTTTTATCTTTGGGATTTGTCCAACATACCTGAATAATTTTTGTAGCCCCAGAAAACACTTTTGTTTAAAAAATTGGCATCACTAATCTATTCTGCTTCAGCTTTTTGTGGCTGTTTTTATTTCCAGCTAATTACGCATTCCAGAGATGAGGGTCTAAAATAGCTGAGAAGATTCACTTATGTTTAGGTACTTCAAAATGCCACTTTTAGCGGTTAGTAATTTTTGTTCTCAAGGACTCTCCCATTCAGAAAAAAAATGCATTTCTTTGAAAATGGAGATGGGATCAAGGTGAAAACATGGAGACACGTTATTGAAAAGAAAGTTTTTGTTGTATCCAAGACCATATAGTACCATATATCTGAATTCAGAATATCTCAAAATACCAAAATATCCAATTTGCAAAAATCATGCTTCACTTTTGAAAAAGAAATATACACACAAAAGAGAAAAATGAGGAAGGACTTAGGCTTTAGGATACCTTGATTAACCTTTAAAGGATACCAGCCCCTGTTTGTGTCCCAGAGGTTTTTATACACAGGAGCAATTCTCCGTAGCAAGATGGGGATCTACAAAAAGGATAGTCAGAGAATATAGGATCCTAGTGCAGGTATAGGTTAAGTGCTTTATGAAGCACCTGCGATGATTCATCTTATAATTCAAATTTAGAAAAAACTTACCATTTTTTGATGTTTTTTTCTGTAACTACCCTGATTCATGGAAATTCATATAAATAACTAATTCCTGCCATAATTCCATCTATTTTTTTAACCTACAAAACAAAATTACATATCTATAGCCTTAAGAACTTAGAGTGAAAATGACTTCAGGTTAATAAAGCTGATAAGAACTTCCCTTACAGCATATTTGAATTCTGGATTCTCATTTTCAATGAAATAGCATTTCCTATCCATGGCAGGAGTTCTCTTCTTATAAAGTTTCAGCAGAATGTCAGCACCTCCCATGGAGACAGATGTCAGCATTATATTCTCAGCAGAGATACTGAAAACAATGGGGTTATTTACTTTAAGGTTTCAAAATATTGTGCAGTAACATTCAAACCACATCTATCATTCACTTAAAATGGTTTTATTCATTCATATATTTGAGCTTCTTTATAACCCTGTCCTCAGGTTCCTTGCTTTAAAACTCATTGCTTTTCAGCCTCCTGCCCTGCCACAGTCAGCAGGCAGCCCCAGCCAGCATCAGAGCCCCTCCAAAGTGGGCCCCACCCCACCACACCCAGTGGGTGACCTTGGCCAAGACTGGAATTCCCCAAAGCAGTTCCCACCCTGGGAGGCCAGCCCTGCTCACCAGAGTGCTCACAGCTGTTGCAACTGGGCCTTGCAGCCAGCTGTACTGGAGGCCTGCCCTGGCCACCAGCCATCCACAGCTGTTGTGGCTAGACTTTTCAAGCAGCCACACCAGGGGCAAGCTCTGCACACCAGCATGCCTGCAGCAACTGTGGCCCAGCCACAATAGGAGGGCACACACAGCCCATGTGGGAGACACCACTGGAGCACCTGACTCTGGTGACCAGGGAGGACCATGCTACTGGGCTCCACAGGACACCTTTTACATAAGGCCTCTCCTTCAAGACCAGGAGACACAGCTGACCTACCTAATACATTGAAACAAACACAGAGATTTAGGCAAAATAAGGAGATAAAGGAATATTTTCCAAATGAAAGAACAAGACAAAAACCTCAAAAAAAAAAAAAACTAAAAAAAAAGAGAGAGAGAGATAAGTAATCAGCCAGATGAAGAGTTCAAAGTAATGGTCATAAAGATGCTCACCAAACTCAGGAGAAGAATGGAAGAGCACAGTGAGAACTTCAACAAAGAGATAGAAAATATAAACAAGAACTAATCAGAGTTGAAAAATATAATGATTGAAATGAAAAATACACTACAGGGAACCAACAGCAGATTAGATGATGCAAAAAAAGCATCAGCAATCCGGAAGACAAGGTACCAGAAATCACCCAATTGGAAAAGCAAGAAGAAAAAAGAATTTAAAATATGAGGAGAGTTTAAAGGACCTCTGGGACAACATTAAGCGTACTAACATTCGCATTACAGGGATCCCAGAAGGAGAAGAAAGAGAGAAAGGGACACACAACCTATTTAAAAAATATATAGCTGAAAATTTCCCCAACCTCACAAAGGAAACAGACATCCAAGTTCAGGAAGTACAGAGAGTCCCAAACAAGATCAACCCAAAGAGAATCACACTAAGACACATTATAATTAAAATTTTGAATTTTAAAGATAAAGAAAGAATATTAAAAGCAGCACAAGAAAAACAATAAGTTGCGTACAAAGGAGCCCCCATAAGACTATCAGCTGACTTTTCAGCAGAAACTTTACAGGCCAGAAGGGAGTGGAATAACATATTTAAAATGCTGAGAGGAAAATAACTTAGAACCAAGAATACTCTATCTGGCAAGGTTATCACTCAGAATTGAAGGAACAATAGAGTTTTACAGATAAGCAAAAGCTAAAGAAGTTCATCATCACTAAACCGACCTTACAAGAAATGTTAAAGGGACTTCTTTAAATGGAAAAGACTACAACTAGAAACACACAAAATTGTGAAAGAAAAAAAATCTCACTGGTAAAGGCAAACATATAGTAAAGTTAGTGGATCAACCACATATATAGGTAGTATTAAGGTTAAAAGACAAAATTAGAAAAATAAACTATATCTATAATAAGTAGTTAAAGGACACACAAAATAAAAGATGAGAAATCAGACATCAAAAACGTAAAACATGAGGGAGAAGTAAAAATGTAGTGTTTTTAGAATGTACTCAAACTTAAGCCAGCATCAACTTAAAATAGACTACTGCATACATTAAATGTTATAAGAACCTCATGGTAACCACAAAACAAATACCTATAATAGATACACAAAGAATAAAGAGAAAGAATACAAACGTAACACTAAAGAAAGTCATCAAGTCACAAGGGAAGAAAACAAGAGAAGAAGGAAACAGAACTACAAAAACCACCAGAAAACAATTAACAATGGCAATAAGGACATGCCTATCAACAATTACTTTAAATGCAAATAGACTAAATGTTCCAATCAAAAGACTGAGGGGTTGAATGGATAAAAAAAACCAGCCCCATATATATGCTGCCTACAAGAGACTCACTTCAGATCTAAAGACACACACAGACTGAAAGTGAGGGGATGGAGAAAGATAATCTACGTAAATGCAAATGAAAATAAAGCTGGGGTAGCAATGCTTTTATCAGACAAAATAGACTTTAAAACAGACTATAACAAGAGACAAAGAAGGGCCTTACATAATGATAAAGGGATCAGTTCAACAAGAGGATATAACATGTAAATATCTATGTATCCAGCATAAGAGCACCTAAATACATCAAGCAAATATTAACAGACATAAAAGGAGAAATTGATGGTAACACAATAATAGTAGGGGACTTTAACACCCCACTTACTTCAATGGATAGATCATCCAGACAGAAAATCAATACGGAAACATTGGTGTTAAATGACACATTAGACCAGATGGACTTAATAGATATATACAGAACATTCCATCCAAAAACAACAGAATACACATTCTTTTCAAGTGCACATGGAACGTTCTCCAAGATAGATCCCATGTTAAGCCACAAAATAAGTCTCAATAAATTTAAGAAGATGAAATCTTATCAAGCATCTTTTCCGACCACAATAGTATGAGACTAGAAATCAACTACAAGAAGAAAACCAGAAAAAATACAAACATGGAATCTAAACAACATGGTACTAAACAACCAATGGGTCATTGAAAAAATAAAAAAATACCTTGAGACAAATGAAAAAGAAAACACATAGTTCCAAAAATCTATGGGATGCAGTAAAAGCAGTTCTAAGAGGGAAGTTAATAGCAATACAGGCCTACCACAGGAAACAAGAAAAATCTCAAACAAACAATCTAACCTTACATCTAAAGGAACTAGAAAAAGAAGAATAAACAAAACCCAAGTTATTAGAGGGAAGGAAATAATAAATATCAAAGCAGAAATAAATGAAATAGAGACTAAAAAAGCAACACAAAAGATCAATGAAACTAAGAGCTGGTTCTTTGAAAAGATAAAAAAAATTTATAAACCTTTAGCCAGACTCATCAAGAAAAAAAGAGAGAGGGCTCAAATAAAACTGGAAATGAAAGAGAAGTTACAACCAATACCAGAGAAATACAAAAGATCATGAGATTACTATGAACAACTATACACCAACAAATTGGACAACTTAGAAGAAATGGATGAATTCCTAGAAACAAACAATCTTCCAAGACTGAATCAAGAAGAAATAGAAAATCTAATTATTAGTAATGAAATTGAATCAGTAATCAAAAACCTCCCAAGAAACAAAAGTCGAGGAACAGACAGCTTCACTGGTGAATTCTGCCAAACATTTAAAGAAGAGTTAATATCTACCTTTTCAAACTATTCCAAAAAACTGAGGAGGAAAAAGTGCATCCAAACTCCTTCTATAAGGCTAGTATCATCCTGATACCAAAATCAAAGACACTACAAAAAAAACAAAATTACAGTCCAATATCCCTGATGAAAATGGATGCAAAAATCCTCAACAAAGTATTAGCAAACCAAATTCAACAATACCTTAAAAGATCATACACCATGATCAAGTGGGATTTATCCCAGGGATGCAAGGATAGTTCGGTATCTGCAAATCAACATGATATACCATATTAAAATGAATAAAAATCATATGATCATCCCAATAAATGGATAAAAAGCTTTTGACAAAATTCAACATGCATTTATGATAAAAACTCTCAACAACGTGGGTATAGAGGGAGCATACCTTAACATAAATGCCATATTTGAAAAACCCACAGCTAACATCATATTCAACAGCAAAAAGCTGAAAGCATTTCCTCTATGATCAGGAACAAGACAAGAATGCCACTCTTGTTCAACATAGTATTGGAAGTCCTAGCCAGAGCAATCAGAAAAGAAAAATAAAAGGCATCCAAATCAGAAAGGAAGAAGTAAACTGTCACCATTTGCAGATGATATGATACTATATATAGATAAGTAGTATAGATAATCCTGAAGACTCCACCAAAAAACTATTAGAACCAACAAATGAATTCAGTAAAGTTGCAAGATACAAAATATTCAAAAATTTGTTGTGTTTCTATACACTAATAATGATCAGAAAAAGAAATTAAGAAAATGATCTCATTTACAACTGCACCAAAAAAGAAGAAAAATACCTAGGAATAAATTTAACCAAGGAGACAAAAGACCTGTACCCTGAAACTATAAGACATTGATGAGATAAATTGAAGATGACACAAATAAATAGAAAGATATACTGTGCTCATGGATTGGAAGAATTAATATTGTTAAAATGTCCACATTAACCAAAGCAATCTACAGAGTCAGTGCAATACCCATCAAAATACCGATGACATTTTCCACAGAACTAGAACAAATAATCCTAAATTTGTATAGAACCACAAAAGACTTCAAACAGCCAAAGCAATTTTGAGAAAGAAGAACAAAGCTGGAGGTATCATACTTGCTGATTTCAAACTATACTACAAAGCTATAGTAATCAAAGCAGTATGGTATTGGCACAAAAACAAACAAATGGATCAATGGAACAGAATCGAGACCCCAGAAAGAAACCCACACTTAAATGGTCAATTAATCTAAGACAAAGGAGGCAAGACTATACAATGGGGAAAAGACAGTCTCTCCAACAAATGGTGCTGGGAACACTGGACAGCTATATGCAAAAGAATGAAACTGAACCACTTTTTTACACTATATATAAAAATAAACTCAGAATGGACTAAAGACTTAAATGTAAGACCTGAAACCATAGGACTCCTAGAAGAAAATACAGGCAGTAAACTCTTTGACATCAATCTTAGCAATATTTTTTTGGATCTGTCTTCTCAGACAAGGCAAACAGAAGCAAAAAACAAACAAATGGGACCACATCAAACGAAGAAGCTTTTACACAGCAAAGGAAATCAACAAAACAAAAAGGCAACCTAATGAATGGGAGAACATTTTTGCAAATGATATATCTGATGAGGGGTTAATAATCAAAATATATAAAGAACTCCTACAACTCAATGGCTAAAAAAAAAAATTCTATTAAAAATTGGGCAGATGACCTGAATAGACATTTTTCCAAAGAAGACATGCAGGTGCCCAACAGGCATAAGAAAAGATGCTCAACGTTAGGGAACAACATTAGGGATGCAATCATTAGGGCAATGCAAATCAAAAGGACAATGAGATGTCACCTCACACCTATCAGAATGGCTTTCATCAAAAAGACAGCAAATAAGTTTTGGCAAGGATCTGGAGAAAAGGGAATCCTCGTGCCCTGTTGATGGGAATGTAAATTGGTGCAGCCACTGTGGAAAACAGTATGGAGGTTCCTCAAAAAATTAAAAATAAAACTACCATATGATCTAGCAATTCCACTTCTGGGTATTTCCTCAAAAAAAAAAACAAAAACACTAATTCAAAAATATGTATGCACCCCTATGTTATTGCAGCATTATTTACAGTAGCCAAGGTATGAAAGCAACCTAAATGCCCATCGATAGGTGAATGGACAGAGAAGATGTGGTATATATATATACACAATGGAGTACTACTCAGCCATAAAAAGATGAAATCTTACCATTTGCGACAACATGGATGGACCTAGAGGATATTATGCTAAGTGAAATAAGTCAGACAGAGAAAGACAAATACTGTATGATTTCACTTGTATGTGGAATCTAAAAACCAAAACAAACACACTCATAGATAAAGAGAACAAACCAGTGGTTGCCAGAGGAGAGGTGGGTGGAGGGTTGAGTGAAATAGGCAAAGGGGATTAAGAGGTACAAGCTTCCAGATATAAAATAAATGTCATGGGGATGTAATATACAGCATAGGGAATATAGTCAATAATATTTTAATAACTTTGTATGGTGACAGATAGTTACTAAACTTATCATGGTGATCATTTCATAATGTATACAAATGTCGAATCAGTGTTGTACACCTGAAACTAACATAATATTGTGTCAGCTATACTTCAATTTACAAAAATAAATAAACACAAGTTACTTCAAAAAATAAAACTTATTACTCTCTACCTTTTTCTCTTTGACATTTGAGTAGCTCATATGGAGTCCACCCCCCCATTCTATATTGCATTTGATATAATAAATAAGCATGTTTTAATCCTAAAATATACTTTATTTCCATTTACATAAGATATACTTTTATTATGGAAGAATTTCTTCTCTTGTGAAAGTGTGTACTATGCACAAAGTAAACCACATTACTCACACTTAGTCTATTTATCCATTTGGAATATCCTTATGTAGAAGAAGAATGTTTCCGTCAAATAAAGAGCCACACATTTTGTTCTGAACTAAAGAATCCATTATACATTTAAGGAAATCTGACTCTGTTTAAATTGTCTCAATGCTTTATAAAATTAAGCTTGGCTGACTGTTTGTTTTCCAGAATGATCATTAAAGGACAAAGCAGAATGTTAGAGCTGCGGCATTATTGGCAAAGCTTTGCTTGTTTGTTTCTCTCTGTAAATGAGCAGCCAATAGAACTTCTGTGCTTATGACAGCGTTCCAAGCAACCCATCTCTCTTAATCTAACG